TATGTACATATACATGTGTATGTTTGTGATTGTATGTGTATGTTTGTGATTGTATGTGTATGCTTGTAAGTTCAAATATTTCAACTTGAATATTCTTAACCAGTCCAATTTGCAACAATTTTACCAATCCTTGTAGAAGTGTAAAAGTATTCTTCGGCTTGTTGCATGCATATGAATATTCATACAAACAATCATATACACTATAAATACAATACATATAAACATTCATACATACAATCATATACACTATAAATGCAATACATATAAAATCCTTATATACAATCATATACGCTATAAATACAATACATATAAACATCCATATATACAATCATATACACTATCGACACAATACATATAGTATCAACAAACACCCATACATACAATCATCTACACTCTAAATACAAGACATATAATACCAACACACCCCCTCTCCTCCACTCAGGCGTGCTGTTGCAGCCCCTAGACATTGCCACAGACACAACGTTCCTGACCGCGGGATCGGATTGGTTCTTCTCACTGTTCCCAGAGGAAAAGAAAGCCGACACGGACACGGCTACCATGGTGGTATGTACAGTGCACTAGTACTTAGATAGTATAGTATCTTACCTACCTGAAACTCTAAACCCTAAATCCTAAACCCTAAAACCCCTGAACCCTACATGGTCAGACCCTGTGGTGAGGGTCACTGGTTGGGGACTTTATTACTCATGTCAGAACGATAGTTATCGCTCATCTGTGACTCATAGGTCTCATCTGTATCTCTAAGGTATCCTAGGCCCATTATATGGCCCCTATGTTCTGCAGATATGTCATATATGTGCAAATCTCTCTATGGATGTCTCGTACATGTCCGTTCTCTCATATGTACATGCATATATGAATACACACATATATACATACATACATGCACACATACATACACACACATACACAACATACACATACACGCACATACACATACACGCACATATACACACATACACACTCATACACACACATACACACACACATACATACACATACACACATATATACACATGTACACACATACACACACATACACACACATACACACACTTAAAAATACACACAAATACATACACATACACATTTATATAATTATAAATATTTATTTATTAATGTCTCATACATGGCCATTTTCCATCCATTCCTCGTTTATCTACAGATCCCATCCTCGAACAACCAGCTCGACGACTATGACCAACAAGCACTGAAGACGGCGGTGGACGCTGGTGTGCCGTTGTATGTCAATCTGTTGGAACTACATCCCATCAGTGTCCATCTCAGCTTCACAATGGGGTTGGATGAAGCAGACCACGGTGAGTGTGTAGGATGTAAATCAGTGTACCATATATGGCAATATATTATATAC